TCTATTTGCATCTGTTTTATGGATTCCATTTGTTTCTTATGTTGGGATTCCATCATGTTCCTGAGCTCCTCTCTAGATTTAATAATCATGTCTTGCACTAGGAGCACAATTTCTCCTGTTATGTGAGAAATTATTTCTGATTTCATGTTTTCATATCCCCTTTTGTTGCCAGTTCAGTGAGTCCAGGTGGTTGAGTATGAGTGTCCTATCTCATTTCCCTTTGGGGTTGCTGTAGGTGATCTGGAAGCCTGGTTTTGAAACTTATTTATGTGTTTTCTCATTTCAACTGGGGGGGGGCAGCTGTTGATGCCTGCACGGATTACCTCCTCTGAGCTGGGAGAGGTGGGACAGGGGCCGGGAGCAGTGGTAGGGATGGTGGCCCAAAAGCCCTTTCCCCTAGGGTGGGAGCAGTGGGAGGGATGGTGGCCTGGAAGCCCCTTCCTCTGGGCCAGGAGCAGCAGGACAGAAGGTGGCCCAAAAGCCCTTTCCTCTGGGCTGGGAGCAGCGGGAAGGATGGTGACCGGGAAGCCCCTTCCTCTGGACCAGGAGCAGTGGGAGAGGGGCTCAGAATACCCTACCTCTGGGCCGGGAGCAGTGGGACTCAGTACCGTGGTCTGGTGGTCTGGTGTCTTCTGCATCTTTGTAGTGTGGAGCCAGGTGGCTGCCTGTCTGCAGCAGGCTGATTTGGCATGTTCCATGCGACTGGGGACCTTGGTAGGGTGTGCGCTGACCTGCCTGTCTGCAGCGGGCTGATTTGGCGTGTTCTGCCCGACTCGGGGCCTTGGTAGAGCATGGGCAGCTGATTTTTGAGTTTTGATCTTGTATCCAGCTACTCTGCGGAATCTGTCAATTAAGTCTAGAAGTCTTTTATGAGAGTTTTTTCAGCCTTCTATATAGAGTATCATGTCGTCAGCAAACAATGACAGTTTAACTTCTTCCTTGCCTATCTTTATTCCTTTTATTTCTTTCTCTTGTCTAATTGCTGTGGCTAATGATTTTTTTTTTTTTTGATACTGGGCATTGAACTCGGATCATTGTGCTTGCACAGCAGGTGGTGAAACCACTGAGCTAAATCCCCAGCCCATGTGGCTAATGTTTCCAGAACTATATTGAATAGATGTGGTGATAGTGGACATCCTTGTCTTGTTTCTGATTTTAGGGTGAAAGGTGTTAGTTTATGACCATTTAGTATGATATTGGCTGTTGGTTTTTCATAGATAGCCTTTATCCAGTTGAGATGAAGACTCTCTATTCCAATTTAATGTTGGGTTTTTATTATGAATGGGTGTTGGATTTTGTTGAACAGTTTTTCTGGATCTATTGAGATGATCACATGGTTTTTGTCTTTGACTCTGTTAATATAGTGTATTCCATTGATTGATTTATGGATGTTGAACCATCCTTGTATCCCTGGGATGAATCTGACTTAGTCAGGGTGTATGATCTTCTTGATGACCCTCTGTATTCTGTTTGCCAGTACCTTATTGAGGATTTTTGCATCTATGTTCATTAGGGAGATTGGGCTGTAGTTCTCTTTTTTGGTTGGGTCTTTCTCTGCTTTTGGAATCAGAGTAATGCTTGCTTCTGGGAATGAATTGGCGAGTACTGCTTACCTTTCAATTTCATTTAAGAGTTTAAAGAATAGTGGTAATAGTTCCTCTCTAAATGTCTTGTAGAATTCAGTATTGAAGCCATCATGACCTGAGCATTTCTTTGTTGGTAAATTTTTAATTACATTTTCAATTTCACTGATTGACATTGGAGTATTTAGAATTTTTATACCTTCTCTGTTCAACTTTGATAATTCATATGGATCAAAGAATTTGTCCATTTCTTCTGCTTTTTCCATTTTATTGGAATACAGGGTGTCAGAGTAGGTATTGATGATCTTCTAGATTTCTGTTGTATCTGTTGATTTCACCCTTTTTCTTCCTAATTGCATGCATTTGAGACTTTTCTTTCCTTTTCTTGATGAGTTTAGCTAAAGTTTGTCAATTTTATTTATTCTTTCAAAGAACCAACTCTTTCATTTATTGATTTTTTTGTATTATTCTTTTAGTCTCCATTGCATTGGTTTCTGCTCTCATCTTTATAATTTCCTCCTTTGTAATAGCTTTGGGCTTGTCTTGCTCATCTTCTTCTAGGAGCTTGAGGTTCAGCTTAGGTTGCTTATTTGAGCTCATTCTGTTATCCTAGTATGGCATCCACTGCTGTCTATTTCCCTCTTAGAATGTATCCCATAAATTCCTGTGTGGTGTATTGGCATTATCATTTAATTGCAGAAAGTATCTAATTTCTTCTTTAATTTCCTCTAACCAACCCATTGGTTCTTTGGGAGAGTGTTATTCAATTTCCATGTGTTTGTGAAGTTCTGCTGGTTTCTTATGCTATCGATTTCCAATTTGATTGCACTATGGCCTGAAAATATACAGGGGATAACTACAATTCTTTGCATTTACTTAAACAAGTTCTATGAGCTTGTATGTGTTCTATTTTGGAGAATGACCCCTGGGCAGCTGAAAATAATGTATATTCTTGTTTTGTGGGGTGGAATACTCTGTAGACATCTATGAACTCAATTTATTCAAAAGTTTGGTTCAATTCTAGTGATTGGTTGTTGATTTTCTGTCTACATGATCTGTCTATTTGTGACAGTGGGGTATTGAGGTCTCTCACTACAATTGTATTAGTGCTTATTTGGTTTTTCATGTCCCATAATATTTGTTTTACATAGTTG